CATCGCATTTTTACACGATGCGCTCGCACGACCGTTGCCTGCGATGGTTTCCTCCGCCAGGCCCAACTTCCACTTCAAGTTGGGACTGGGTGAATGACAAGCTCATTTTCAGTCCCGAAGTCACTAGCGTTTAGCGTAGCATTAGTAGTAAAGCTGAGAAAGCGTAGATGTTTCAAGCCTAGGCACGTACGGTAGATCCGACTTAGCTTGCGTGCGGAATGTCGTAAACGTGGTTTTTTTTTTTTTTTTTTTTTTTTTTTTTTTTTTTTTTTCGCAAACGTGATATCGTCTCTCGCAAGTGCCACACTCCCGTCGCGCTCTCGGTGAATCGAGCTCCCGTCGCTCTACAGCTCTTCTTCTCACACTACCCATCGTGTTGCCCTCGCGCTCAGATCGAATCGCCCTTCCTCCCCCTCTTATCACCCACTTCGTCACCCTCCCGTCTTCCTGTCCCCTCGCGCTCGCCATCTCTCATCCCTTCCCCTTCCCATCCCGTCGTTTCTGCCTCTCTTCCTTCCTGTCCCGTCAATCCGCCTCTCTCTCTTCCCATCCCGTCAATCCGCCTCCCTCCCTTCTCATCCCGTCAATCCGCCTCTCTTCCTTCCCATCCCGTCAATCCGCCTCCCTCCCTTCCCATCCCGTCAATCCGCCTCTCTCCCTTCCCATCCCGTCAATCCGCCTCTCTTCCTTCCCATCCCGTCAATCCGCCTCTCTCCCTTCCCATCCTCTGAATAATTGATTTTTGCCCCTTACTACGGTATGGGTGCACTTGATTGTAGAATGGAGTTATATGTGCATTCAGCTCTGGTAATTCCAGGTAAATCTATACCACCTTCCAGGCAATGCACTGATCGTACACTGGTAATAACAACAAATGTATACAGCTACTTCACTGTAGCAACGAGTCTATATCCGGCACCACAACAGCCCGCTGTCTCACGTCCCCTAAGAAATGGCACATGCCCGATGCGGCATTCACAGCTGCTAGCTCCTGGTGGAATATGCACGGCGAACCGGCCTGGAGCTGTTAGGTGGAGAAGGGGAAGGGGGGGGACACGGCAAGGGGGAGTTGGGGAAGAGGCAAGGGGGCGGAATGCACGCAAGTAAGGGCATATGCCAGATGTGGTGTTCACAGAACTAGTTTCCGGTAGTATATTGAGATGTCTCAAAAAATGAAATTTTTTGAAAGTGTGTAACACTTTCTAAAAATATGTATTATGAAAGCGCAGCTGACTGTAGCGAAGCAAGGCAACTGCGACTGCCTATTTTCGACTACATGATGAGGGTTGGAGGCCATTTGGCCTCCACCCACGTCTTCATTTCGGAACTTTACAGTTCCGCGTCATTCTCGTCCAACCACTAGCAAGTTCACGTCCTCACCAATTTCAGAAACAACTACCTAGACTTATTTTCAAGTATCTAGGGTTCACGCTGAAGGGCGACAGAATAGCGCCCGCGATTATACTTGGCGTTCGCTCAACCTAGATAGGAGTGCACCGGACGAAACAGCCACTGGCGCGCCAGCCACGAAATCGCCAATGGCACGTGCCAGAGACGAAATTGCCACTGGCGCGCGCCAGAGACGAAATCGCCACTGGCGCGCGCCATGGACGAGATCGTCATTTGCGCCAGTGGCACGCGCCAGTGACGAAATTGCCACACGCGCGCCTGTGGCGAAATCGCCACTTGCGCCAGCACCACATTGCCACTAGCGCATCAGGGACGAACGGGACACAGGCGCAGCAGTGAACAAAGGCCACCCTCGCGCCTGTGCCATTGACTGCAGCGTCAACCACCTGCACCTTATCACCTCGAAATCGGGCGCGTGATGACGACGGTGAAGGGAAGCGCACCAAACGCCACCGCTTGTGCGGGAAATCACAGCAATCACTGGACCAACTCCACGCGCACCTATCGACGCCCCTTAATGAAATCGAGGGCCCCGGTGTCAACGTTGGCCTGAGAGCCGTCCCCCAGGGGGGGAAAGGACCGAGGGTCCCCATGCTGGCCTGAGAGCCGTCCCCCAGGGGGGGAAGGGGACCGAGGGTCCCCATGCTGGCCTGAGAGCCGTCCCCCAGGGGGGGAAGGGGACCGAGAGTCCCCATGCTGGCCTGAGAGCCGTCCCCCAGGGGGGGAAGGGGACCGAGGGTCCCCATGCTGGCCTGAGAGCCGTCCCCCAGGGGGGGAAGGGGACCGAGGGTCCCCATGCTGGCCTGAGAGCCGTCCCCCAGGGGGGGAAGGGGACCGAGGGTCCCCATGCTGGCCTGAGAGCCGTCCCCCAGGGGGGGAAGGGGACCGAGGTCTGTGTGTTTCGATGTCGGCCTAAAAAATTCTTCCCTGAGGGGGAAGGAATGGTACGAGGATATGCTGGGCAGAGCACCACCGCCTTAGGGAGGGGAGGAAAGCGGACTAAAGTTGAGATTCACTTTCCGGTATTGTGCATGTGGATGTGTTGTATTGTATTCCTGGCAATTATGTTAAAGACATGAATGGTTTCAAAAAAAAAAAAAAAAAAGCACGAGCACTCCTTTTTGCAGTTGGACGTCGGAGCCACACCACATAACAAACTATCACGGCCCACCGGGATAAAGTTGGTACTTTAGTGTGCAACTACCGGTGGCAAGGATATTGGATTGATTTTCACCTTCCTACACGCACTGAAGTTCCCAAACGAGGGTTGCATGGAGGGTTAATGTCTCTCAACCTTTACGCATTCACTCCCACCGCACCTCCGTGTCATCACGCTTGTCGAAAACAGGGGGAACATGAACATGTACCAAACGTCATATACCACGTGCATTTCACTACCAGAAATAGTTCGCACTTCGACAACAAAGGCAATGCGTTGACAGGAGTACGAGACCCGCATTGGTGGCAGCCAATGCACTTGTTGGCGTGTTCTTGTCTCACCATCATACCGTAATATCTCATAGGGATGAGCAACAGAGAGACCAATAGATGAGCAATTGAGGGGTCAAGAGCTCACCAACCGAGGGACCAAAGAGATGAACAACCGAGGGGCCAAGAGATGTGCAACCGACGGGCCAAGAGATTAACAACTGATGGGCCAAGCGATGAGCAACCGATGGGCCAAGAGATGAGCAACCAATGGGCAAAGAGACGAGCAACAGATGGGCCAAGAGACGAGCAACCGATGGGCCAAGAGACGAGCAACAGAAGGGCCAAGAGACGAGCAACCGATGGGCCAAAAGACGAGCAACAGATGGGCCAAGAGATGAGCGACCGATGGGCTAAGAGATTAGCAACCGATGAGCCAAGAGATGAGCAACCGATGAGCCAAGAGATGGGCAACCGATGGGCCAAGAGACGAGCAAATGATTGGTCAAGAGATGAGCAATCGATTGGTCAAGCAACGAGCAACCGATAGGCCAAGAAACAAGCAGCCGGCTGATGGACTAAGAGATGAGCAACTGATAGGCCAAGAGACGAGCGACTAATGGACCCGTAACCCGTGCTTCGAGGCACTGCACCACGCTCTCCTACAAATTCGCGCTACTGTGTGACATTATCCTTTTACGAACCAATATTGGCATCCTCTTGGATGTACAAAACTTGCGAATGAGGCTATCATCATTCAACATCGTCCACTCCACCACGACCATAACTAATTCCGTTCCCCGGTCTCAGAAACTTCGTACTTGGGTGCGCTTGCGATGACTCATTACAACAACGCCCCGTTTATCTTCTCGATCTTCCGATATTCGTCTGCAGCTTACACACCCTCAGTCATACAAAGTCATGACGCACCTTTGGAGACTGCGTAACGTTCTTTGGCAAGCCCATCAACATTGACGCAACCAAATGACATATGTTCCTCCAATGAAGTCATTGGTTTTGGACCGTCATCTTCACTTTCATTGGTGGTGTATGTCGCGTATGGAGGAGCATGCACTCATGCTAACATGACATTAGTCTGCCGCCCTACACCCCACTATTCGACACAAAGCACGGAAATCGCAGCATCCGTCTTTGCGCAACACTGACAAATTCAAGAACTAGCACATGGGTCATCTTCAACAACAATCTTCGCTGTCTCACATGCCAGCGCAGCAATCATAATGAACCTCAGTCTTCCACTCCAACAATAACCATCGGCACCGCCATCCAACCAACAACAGCAGCAATAAGCACAACAACCTCAACATGGAGCACAACGACTGACGCCAACCATCGCTATCACTTGACGTCGCCCTCAGCCGGCTCCGCAATCTACACTTCGTCAACACACGCACATGTCTCAGAAGACCCAATCAAAATGAAGCACGTTGCCTTGCAAGCATCAGAAAGCAAGCTTTCTTAATATGAAATTTTTTGAAAGTGTGTAACACTTTCTAAAAATATGTATTATGAAAGCGCAGCTGACTGTAGCGAAGCAAGGCAACTGCGACTGCCTATTTTCGACTACATAATGAGGGTTGGAGGCCATTTGGCCTCCACCCACGTCTTCATTTCGGAACTTTACAGTTCCGCGTCCCCCCCACCCACCCCTAGTTGATAATCATATAATGTTTTTAGTTGGACGAGAATGTTGTAATTTCCCAATCAAAATGAAGCACGTTGCCTTGCAAGCATCAGAAAGCAAGCTTTCTTAATCCATTTTTTGAGACATCTCAAAAACCAAATTTTGAGACGGCTAGTAACACAATAGCTAATTTCTGACAGAACATGTAGGGCGAACCAACTGGGATACTCACTTCAGACAGCGTGTCTCCAAGCCTCACCTTCACACTCACATCAGAATCTTGCAGGCTGATGAGGAACCACTCACGAAGCCTCATCTTCACATTCCCATTGATTTTTGAAGATTCGCAAACGCAACCTAAAAGAACCCTGGACCTTATGGCTAGCAGCTTGATACTCACATCGAACAGCGTGTCTCCAAGCCTCATCTTCACGCTCCCATCATCATACACTAAGACCTTGCAGGCCTTTGAGAAGACTCAAAAACTCACAATCTTGCAGTCTGTTTCTGAGAATGATCATAAACCACTCACATCAAACAGCGTGTCTCCAAGTTTCATCTTCACGCTCCCATCCTCATACACCAGAATCTTGCAGGCCCCGAAGTAGACCCAGAACCCTTAGTAGCAATCTGAATACTCACATCGAATAATGTGTCGCCAAGCCTCATCTTCACGCTCCCATCATCATACACCAGAATCTTCCCAATCCGCCCCTCGGGCAGCGATGAAAGCTCATCCAACGGCCCCGGTTCACCCGGTGCGAGCTCAGCTGCCCGCTCGCGGCGCACGGGCAGCGCGGCGGGCAGCTGGAAAAATATCATCCGGTCATCAAGAGCAGCAGCAGCAGGGGGGTTTAAGCCTAGTTCTTTGGCTGGGGGAACAGCAGCTTCGTTGAAAGGGCGGGACAGAGCCTCCTCGCCAAACTCAGCCTCGTTTAGCAGGTCTGGGGAGCAGGGAAATGAGGGAAGGGGAACGAGATGATCCGGGACTGAGGACATGAGGAAATGAGGGAACAAGAAGCAGAAGCAGCAGCTTCGTTGAAAGGGCGGGACAGGGCTTCCTCTCGAAACTCATCCTCGTTTAGAAGGTCTGGGGGAGGGAGAGGGGAGAGGTGAGAAATGGCATGAGGAAATGAAGGTCTGAGGCCCCTCCAACATTAGATTAGGCAAGCACGATCATGCTTGAATTGAAACGGCTCTTGAGGCGCCTTAAAAGACAAGTTAGCACGGGAATACTTGAGTGGAAACGGTTACCTGGTGGACCAGAGTTTGGAGGGCGCAGAGGAAGCGTTGTGGGGTAGTAGCGGCTGTAGTCCTGTTATTAGATGCAGAGGTGGGTAAATATGCATGTAGGTATGTATGCAGGCAGATATCCCCCCAAAAAAGAAAAAGAACTGAATAATTAAAAAAGAAAGGCATCATTGTTTGCAAACAGGCCACTTCCTCTGCAATCAACGTCACTCCCTCAGCAATCCACGATATTCCCTCTGAAATCCACGTTACCCCGTTCTCCACCCACCCACCATGGTATCTCTCTTCTTCGCCTTCTTCTCATCCAATTGCAACGAGCCACCTGGCACGATTCATTTCAACAGTGAACGAACGAAGGGGCGTGGGAGGACGGACGGGTGATGAATGGGTGAAGGGGAATGGGAAAGGGGGAGTGGGGGAAATGGACCATGGGAAACGGAGAGGGAGCTGAGGGGGAGATGGGGCAATCATTGAGTCAATTTTTTGTCAACACAAAAAACTGTTTATATGTGTGCAAAGGCAACAGTGAGTCAAATGAATCGAGTCAAAAAACATCTCACCAGGAGCAGCAGAAAAGTCGTGTGTCATCTCTGTTTTCACCCTCACCCCTCCCTCCTCTTTCACTCCCCCTTCCCCTCCCCCTCCTCCTCCCCCTCCCTCTCCACCTCCTCCCCCCTCCTCCCCCTCCTCCCCCTCCTCCCCCTCCTCCTCCCCTCCCCCTCCCCCACCTCCTCCCCAACCACCCCCCCCATCACCGAAACTGCTGCTGCTGCCCCCTTTGCCCCCAGGTCCGACTCCCATACCCGCTGCGGCTGCTGACGCACCAAAGCCAAAGGCAACCCGCACAGCAGCACCTGACCGGTGGAGAGCGGAAGAGGATGAGAGAAGGGAGAGAAAGGAGAAAAGTGAGAAGGAGAAGGAACGGGATGAGAAGGAATGAATGGGACCTGCTGCTGCTGCTGAAGCTGCTGCTGCAGCTGCTGCTGCTGCTGCTGCTGCTGCTGCTGCTGCTGCTGCTGCTGCTGCTGCTGCTGCTGCTGCTGCTGCTGCTGCTGCTGCTGCTGCTGCTGCTTTTGCCGTGCCAATCTCTCACATTCACGCACTCTCACATTCTCACATAATCAGACTCTCACATTATTACATTCGCACATGTGTTCAGTCGCACCTTGAAAGGCCCGTTTGGGTGCATTGGAGGAATCAGCTTGTGATTGCTGCAGTCGTGGGGACGAGGGGGGAGAGAGTAAAAAGACATGAGGGGAGGATTGGTGGGAAGGGAGGATTGGAGGGGAGGATGGAGCAAAGAGAGAATTGGGGAAGAGAGGTAGGTTAGGTTTTACAATATATTGGGGGTTGAGGACTCACCAGGAGAATCTTCCGCAGCTCTTCTGGTAGCTCCTGCTCTGCTGCTTCCTCTCTGTGTGTGTGACGTATGGGGGGGAAGGGCAGCGTGTGTGCAAAGTGTGTGTATGAGGGATGAACAATGATTGGGATGCCAAAAACATAAAGCAGCTCCTCTGGTAGCTCCTGCTTGGCTGCTTCCTCAATCTCTGTGTGTGTGTGTGTGTGTGTGTGTGTGTGCGCGCGCGCGCGCGTGCGTGTGTGCGTGTGTGTGTGGGGGGGGGGAGGTGTGTGTGTGTCTCTGTGTCTGTGTGTGTGTGTGGGGTGTGTGTGAATTAAGTACTACTGCTACAAACATCAAGAACTTGATCACTCACGCGGCATGACATGGCATGCCATGGCACATAGTTGCATCACTCACGGCTTGACTGTCTTCTTGTGGGCTCGTCTGGCCGGCACCTTGGGCACAAACTTGATCATTCACATGGCATGATGGCACATGGCACATGGCATGATTGCACATGGCACATGGCATGGTGACACATGGCACATTGCACACAGCATGCCATGGCACATGGCATGGCACATGGCTGCATCACTCACGGCTTGACTGTCTTCTTGTGAGCTCGTCTGGCCGGCACCTTGGGCACAAACTTGGGCTGCAAAGGCGATTGGATGTGTGCAGGGGGATACAGAGGGATAGAGATGGATGTTAGGGATAGAGAAACCGTCTGGCCGGCACCTTGGGCACAAACTTTGGCTGCACACGCAATCAGATGTGTTCGAAGGGACAGAGAGGGATACAGAGGGAGAGAAAGAAACAGCAGAGAAAAAGAGACGGATGGGGAGGGGTAGAGGGAGAACAGTAATGGAGAAACTGTCTAGCAAGCACCTTGGGTTCGAACATTAGCTGATGTGTGCTCACATGCGTGCAGGGGGGAGGGTAGAAAGAGGTGGTGGATAGTGGGGGTAAGAGAGGGATAGAATTGGTTGAAGAGGGATACAGAGGGTTAAACAGGGATAGAGAGAGATCGACAGAGAAGAGTACAAGACGCACGGCCTCAAGCCAAGTCAACAATTTCATTCAGCTCAGCAAATTCCAACTGTTGCTTACCTTACGAACTCCTGCCGTCTCCCCCGTTCCTGCTGCTGTTGCTGCCGAACCTGCTGCTCCCGAACCTGTTGCTGCTGAAGCTGTCGCTCCTGCAGCAACCGGGCCGCCAACCCCAGCCTCAGCCTTAGGGGCGGAAGCGGAGGGCGCGGGCCTGGCGGAGGGGGAAGCGGAAACTGCGCCACTGGCTCCGCCCAAACCCGAAACCCTCAACCCTTGCGCCAGTGCCGCCCCTGTTGTTTGCAGCCGTCCGATCGGATCTGATACGCCGCCCAATCGCGGAGTCCCCCCGACTATCCCCGCTTGCTCTGCCGCCTCCGCCGAGGCCCCGCGCGCCCTCCCCCTTCCCCGCCCCCGCCCCCGCCCTCGCCCCCTCCCTGTAGCTCTTCCGCCGGCATCAGCTGCGCCACCTGCGCCAGATGCATCCGCCATTCGAGACCGCTGTGGACGCTAGCGATGGTTCGATTCCTACGGATGATTAGGGTTTCCGAAAAAAACGATTTTACGGCGACACGCAAGGAGCGCGACGAAATTAAAACCTCCGCGAGTAGTGTGACTAAAACCTTGGTAACCAGGTTACACTATCATGAAATTTCCGCAAAATTGCGAATATGCATTTGCTGATGGTTGAACGCGCGACAAAACAACTCCCGCTGCGGGACAAACTTCCAAATCGCCAAAACCTACACTTCACTGAATACTCACTAATAATTCAAAACATATATTATTCACTTTTAGCTCCTTGGGAGTACTGAACAAATTCTATTGAAGCTCCGAATCTGGCTGCTCAAGCTGCGTCCATCCAGGGGCTGTTATCCATCCAATAAAAACCATCTTGCTTGCCTCATAATATAGAACAATCTTGCTTGCCTCATAACACATAAGGGCCAAATCAGCTGCTTCTCCTTCCCAGAATGAGAACGAAATTTCGAGCCATCTTACTGTGTATCACCACTTTCCACCTAGACATACCAATAGAGCCCAATAAATGGTAACCGACGGTATTTCCACTACCAACTCACAAAGAATACCTTTTTTTCAGAATTCTAAGAAATTAGATGCCTGGAAGGCTGGACCCCTTACTCCAACATCCAGAACGCTTCTTTCCCCCTTTTCTTGACGCAACATCAAGGTTTTTCTTTTTTCTTTTTAGAAGTATTACTTCCTAATTATGGGGGTATGCGCGCCATTTCCCATCCCCTTTGCCGCCACAGCACCACCAGGGCTTGCTTTCACTGCTGGTGACTTCCCCCCTGTCCCTCCCACTATCCCTCCCCCTCTGCCCACCCCCACCCCTCCCCCTCCTGCCGCTGAGGCTTTCAGGCCCCCTCCTCCCACTGCTACCCCTTTTATCCCCCCTGCCCCTGCTGCCACCCCTTTCACCCCCCCAACTCCTGCCGCCCCTCCCTGAACCCCCCCTGCTGCTGCTCCTTTACCCCCTCCTCCACCTCCTCCCGCCCCTCCTGCTCCTCCTGCTTTTCCTCCTGCTCCTGCTGCCCCTGTTCCTACTCCTACTGCTGTCCCTGCTTTCTTAACTGCTGCTCCAGTTGCTGTTCCGACTGTAGTACCAGCAGCACCACCACCTGTACCTCCCTTCACTCCTCCTCTTGCCACTGCTGCTTCTCTGCCCTTCCCTTCTCTCTCCCTCCCCTCCTTGGCCCTCCCTTCTCTCTCATACACCCTAAACATCAAAACAGACTTAGCCATTTGCGGTTCCCTTTCAAGGGCTGCAATCACATCCTTTAATATCACAGTCCTAGGCCCCTGTTGCTTCGCCAAACCTCCCGCTCCTCCTGCCCCACCTGCCCCTGCTGTCCCTACTCCTGCCGAACCTGCAGGCCCAGCTGCCGAGCCTCCAGGCCTGGCACCACCGAGCTTGCCATCAGGTGTACCTGCACCAGATAATCCTCCCTCCCTTCCACCAACCCCCCCTCCAGCCGTCCCACTTATCCCTGACCCTGCCCCTCCTGATGCTGACGTGGCAGCTCCTGATTGGCCCATGGCTGCAGGACCCCCCGAAGCTAATCCTTCCGCACCTGCACCCGAGCCTGTACCTGATCCCGGGCCTGCACCTGTCCCATCCTTGCCAGCCTTAGCCCCCCCTACTACTCCCGTTCCTCCTGCTACTCCTGGCCCTGCTCCCCCTCCTGCTCCTCCCGCTGCTCCTCCTCCTGCCGCTCCTCCTGCTGCTGCTTGCATCTTTTTTAGCTGAGCATCACGAAACCACTTAGCAAAGCGCGGGTCCACTCCCACTGCAACCCTCGCAGCTTCATTCGCCCGCGTTGCCTTCTCCTTCTCCTCCTCCATCTCCTTCGCCTGTAGTAAGGAGTAGGTGCAGAGGGATACAGAGGGGTACAAGGCACAGGTCACACGGCAGAGGGCAGAGGAACAACTTAGCAAAGCGCGGGTCTTCTCCCACTGCCACCCCTGAGCTGCCATTTTAATGTTGAGGCACAGCCACTGTGCGTTACACAGCCACTGTGCGCTACACACCCACCGTGCGTTACACACCCACCGTGCGTTACACACCCACTGTGCGTTACACAAGCACTCACCTTCTGAGCCTTTATCCGGTGCTCCTCCTTCTCTTTCTCTGTCATGTTCGCCTTCTCCTTCTCCTTGCTCTCCTTCTGAACGCACCACAACAGGGGGCGGAAGCACAAAACGGAAGGGAGAGAAACAACCCAAGAGTGAATGGACGGACCGTCGGAACAGAAAAAAAATATATATATATATAAAAACAAAAAAACAAAAAACAAAAAGAGCTGCCCCAAGAAGGGACGGGAGAAAAGCAATGCACGGATGGACCTCCCCCTAAGATGCGCAAAAACTCCCCAAGAACTGCACCACCCTCCAACACTCACCTCCCCCCAACACTCACCTCCCCCCAGCACTCACCTCCCCCCAGCACTCACCTCCCCCCAGCACTCACCTCCCCCCAGCACTCACCTCCCCCCAACACTCACCTCCCCCCAGCACTCACCTCCCCCCAGCACTCACCTCCCCCCAACACTCACCTCCCCCCAACACTCACCTCCCCCCAGCACTCACCTCCCCCCAGCACTCACCTCCCCCCAGCACTCACCTCCCCCCAGCACTCACCTCCCCCCAACACTCACCTCCCCCCAGCACTCACCTCCCCCCAGCACTCACCTCCCCCCAGCACTCACCTCCCCCCAGCACTCACCTCCCCCCAGCACTCACCTCCCCCCAGCACTCACCTCCCCCCAACACTCACCTCCCCCCAGCACTCACCTCCCCCCAGCACTCACCTCCCCCCAGCACTCACCTCCCCCCAGCACTCACCTCCCCCCAGCACTCACCTCCCCCCAGCACTCACCTCCCCCCAGCACTCACCTCCCCCCAGCACTCACCTCCCCCCAGCACTCACCTCCCCCCAGCACTCACCTCCCCCCAGCACTCACCTCCCCCCAGCACTCACCTCCCCCCAGCACTCACCTCCCCCCAGCACTCACCTCCCCCCAGCACTCACCTCCCCCCAGCACTCACCTCCCCCCAGCACTCACCTCCCCCCAGCACTCACCTCCCCCCAGCACTCACCTCCCCCCAGCACTCACCTCCCCCCAGCACTCACCTCCCCCCAGCACTCACCTCCCCCCAACACTCACCTCCCCCCAACACTCACCTCCCCCCAACACTCACCTCCCCCAGTCTTCTGAGCCTCTCTCTCTCCTCCGCTGCTCTCCTCTCCTCCGCCTCCCTCTCTGCCCTCTGCATCA